TAAATCATATCTGCATTGTATTTTGCCTCCTGAATTGCTCCTTGTTTATACCCTGGAATTTGCATGTGAAATAGGGCTTTTGGTGTGAAGCTGGTTTCTTTGCTTGTCTTCAATAAATTTATTTTGCTTCCATCTTGACTTGTTTTCTTCCTTAATGCACTGCTCTTGTATCCTTTATTACACCACACCTTGTCTGATTATAGGCACTGCAATGCGCATTGAGCCATTCTGTATTGCTTTATTTTGAGATTGGAATCGAATCATGTTGTGTTGCATTCTGCCTTGCAAACTTTGGCTCAATTGACCTGGTTTTGCTCTGTTTATTGCTGCTTAAATGATGATGCTGATATGAGACTAAATTGAATAGGCCCTTGTGTGCTGGTCCCTGCTTTGCTTTTCTCTGCTTACTGCCCTTTGGCTGCTTTTATTCCCTAGAATTGCTTACTTGAGTTTGCTGCAATTTGGTTGAGAACTCGTGGACTTGTTGGTTTGAACTCTTTATTGTTTCGAATGAATACTGGCCTGCTTTGCTTTTGAAATTGGACCTTAGTGAAAATGCTTCTGCTCATAAATGTTTGGCTGCTGAATTGTTGCTTTTCTCTTTTTAACTAAGCTGCCTATATCCCTTAGTATTGCTTGCCATTGTCTGTTGTTTGTTGCGCTACCTTATGAGGCTTGGAAGCACTTTGAGCTCTGTGGTTTCTATATTGCCTCATGATGAATCTGCTTTCTTTGTGCACTATTGTCATATTTGCTGCAATCTTCCCTTTTTAATCTTTGCTGCCCTGTGATTACTTTGTAATGTTGTTCATTTAGCTCTCCATGTGCACCTTGTTTTCCTTATTTGCATGCAATATTCTATTTTGCGCTGGCATTACTGCTTGTTTGTACTTGACATGCCCTGTATTCTATTCCCCTGAGTTCAGCTTCCCTTGCTTTCTGTTTAATTGCTTCGAATCTACTTCTGTCTATTTTTGTTGTGTTGATCTGTGAGCTCTGATGCTTTCTGCAGTACCACTAATCGGGCCCATTTTCCATGGCGAATTTGAGTTCCGTTATACTTGTAAGCAAGAAGTCCATGAGCTTGGCCAAAGGCTCTTAAAGCAAGCCATTTAATCATTGATATTATTTTGAAGAAATACTAAGATTTCGAAGGAAAAGACAAACCAAAGAAATGAGGAGCATTGAAATTATGACTCTTTTTATTGTAAACTAGAAACGGCCTCTTTCTGATTTTGCAATTTCTTTGTTTTCTTGTATTTTTGGAATGCAATGCAGATATTATGTAAATATTATTTTGTAAATGGAAAATGAGAAATGAAGATGCAATCATTTTTATTATTAAGACTAAAAGAAAACAAGCTTCACTCTCCATTATGGCCCAAAAGCAAATTCAAAGCTAAAAGGTCCAAATGCAAGTCAAAAGCTAAAATGCCCAAGTGCAAGCCCAAAATTAACCTAATAAGCAACTATTAAAAATATTTACTAAATTAATTATTTTACCATAGACCAAGTATGAACTATTATTTAACTAAAGTGACCAAAATACCCCCTAAATGACCATAATGAAAATTAATGAAATGTGATATGCTAACGCGAAATTAAAAGGGCTAATTTACTAAAATACCTTACAAAATTATTAAAAATTTCTAATGCCCTATATAAACTAATTAAAATAAAATTTATCTAAATTAAAGGATATAAGACCAAAAATGGGTGTCTACAAGGAGAAGCAAGTATTGTTTGGGAAAATATTTCTAGCCTGGATGAGTTCACCAGTGGCAAACCTTTGGTGACCCATGAGCTAGATTATTTATCTGATTTTAAAAAGTGTAAGACACTTTTATAGATCAAATTCTAGTCTTTAGGTGCATCAGTATTTCTATATATTAAGACATGCCCCATAAGCACATTTAATATCAAAATCATTAGCTTTTCCATGTAAGTAGGTCACTGTCTTGCCCCACCTCTTTGGGCAGTAATAATGTTGTTTGTGATAGCAACATGCAAAGGTCCTTAGATAAAATCCAAGCGCCAAAGCCCTTGATCTTCCCAAATCAAATGTACTCCAGTGTACAGTTGCTCTCTTCTTTGGTTAGAGGGCAAATAAAGAACTATCCTAGGGTATCAATGCCAGTCTAGTCATCAAATCTAAGACTGACTCTATCTCCTTTCTTAATGTTCCACTTCATGTTATTCAGGACAATATGCTTAGTGTTTAGATGGCTTTGCAAGGAGGCGAAGCTCCTTTCCGAGAGCTATCTCTTCCAAGATACGTTTCTCTTATCAGCTTAGTCCAGAGATTGTCTTCATTGGAAAAGACTTCCTAAAGCAGGTTAGCCATTAAAGCAGTGTGTGGATGCTTTGAAGCCCTGATTCCCAGGCCCCATTTAGTCTTCTATCTAGTTACGGTATCCTAGTTGATGAGGTGAAGTTTTCTTTTTTCATCACTGCTTCCCAAAGGAAGTTTTGACTAAGCCTATCAACATTGTAAAGAATGGAAAAAGGAGGTTGGCAGCTTGCATGTAGTACCCATGGTGTGGTAAAAAAGGTAGATTTGATGAGAGTTGTCTTGGCATCAAGGAAGAAGAAATTAGATTTCCAACTTGCTAGTTTTTGGCTTAATTTTGTGTTTTAGACTCTCTGCTAAGTATAGATCTAGTTCTAACTTGCATTCTAGGCTTTTCACTTCCTCTAAATTGCTTGCATACTGATCATCCTAGTTGGTTGGATCAATATTATCCAAACTCTCAACTTTTATTGCCAATGAATCTTGACTGCTTGCCATTATACGAGGACTTGTTGAATAAATCTTCTTGTAAAGATCAAATAACCTTGTCACATCCTTCAATACAAGAGCATCCAACTTCACAACATTCTCAGATCAACCGGATAAGCTTTTGAGAAGCAAAAATACATATTTCAACTTTTTATCGAGGATAACACCATCGAAACCATTCATAACACATTGATTTTCTCCAAGTCTCCCCAATACTTGTCAAACTTAACCCTCATTTTTTGGCCATATTTTGAAGAAACAAAACTAGGTAACCATACTATCTAAAGCATACTAAATGAAATAAATTTTCTCAAGATAGAAAGAAAAAGTAACATACAGAATACCGGAAAAAAGGTTCTTCGCTTCATAAAACAACTTCAAGAACTTCACTAGGCACCACATCATTAACATTAATAAAAGTAACTTGTGTTTTACTCGAATCATCGAAGCTAGGTACCATATCATCAAGATTAATAAAAAAAACTCAGTGCCATCCTCTTCTAATCTATCAAAATCCTTTTGAAGCCTCAATGTCGAATCTGGTATAAAGTATGTTGAATTCCACATTGTTTGAACATCTAAAGAAACACAACTTATACTTGCGATACTTTTCTTCTCAATACACAATTTGAATTTTTTAGTTGTAGATGGAGAACTCTTCACATATGTCACTGCACCTCTAACTCAAACAACAGATGCGCATACCCCACTTCAATTATTTTTGATTGTCAAGTCCAAGATGTTAGTAGACCATCCGACATGAAAGAGCTCAGCATAAAAAAGAAAAGATTTCTATTCTTCTTATCCTTCAAGTGAACAAATCCCAACATATTAACTATTTTCATTGTATGGTACCCACATTCTCAATGACCCAATCGAAAAAACATTTCTCAATAAATTTACCACTATGATTCCTCTTGCCAGAAGAAGTTGGATAAAAATATAGGATTCTTTTATGCAAGTGCCAATTATCATCGACGAAACGAACAATCAAGTATAAATAAATAGCATTTTGGATAAAGTCCAAATGTCTGCGGTGAGACAAATCCTTGAACCTAGGGTAGATAATAACTTTTTCAACTTGTCTCTTTGACGAACAAAGATCTTATAGCAATCACTTTCTATTGCATTACATGAGACACCATCTTAAACTTTCGCAGTGCTACACTGATAAATTGATATAAAGGCCTCATGATCAACAAATTTAAAACGCAAATCATCAACTATAATCATCTTTTCCAGAGCCATCCTACAAGCATCTTCCCAGCACCATGTTGTTTTGATCCATCTCCTTCTAAGGTAGCTTAACTCTACCTTAGCGCCAAGCTCCGAGAAGGGTGCCATGTTCACTCCTTCCTTGCCTTTGATTCTTCACTTCTTTTTTTTCCTCATTCCAACTCATATTATGGAGTCTTGTCTTCAGATTAGTCGGGGTCAAATGTAGCTACCTTATACCGAAGGATTTCACATAAAAAGAAGAATAAATTTAGATTCAAATTAACAGATGTTAAATGATTTTCTATGAGTTTCAAAGTCCATACAAAAAAAAAACTATTATTAAACATATTATGGAGTCTTGTCTTCGGATTAGTCGGGGTCGAATGTGGCTACCATATATATACCCAAGGATTTCGCATAAAAAAGAAGAATAAATTAAGATTCAAATTAACACATGTTAAATGCATATTATGGAGTCTTGTCTTCAGATTAGTCGGGGTCGAATGTGGCTACCTTATACCGAAGGATTTCACATAAAAAAGAAGAATAAATTTAGATTCAAATTAACACATGTTAAATGATTTTCTATGAGTTTCAAAGTCCATACAAAAAAAAAAACTATTGTTGAACATATTATAGAGTCTTGTCTTCGGATTAATCGGGGTCGAATGTGGCTACCGAAGGATTTCGCATAAAAAAGAAGAATAAATTAAGATTCAAATTAACACATGTTAAATGATTTTCTATGGGTTTCAAAGTCCATACAAGAAAAAAAAACTATTATTGAAAAGCCCAACAAATATTCCTTAAGAAAAAAAAACTTGCATAAAAAAGAAGAATAAATTAAGATTCAAATTAACACTAACACATGTTAAATGATTTTCTATGGGTTTCAAAGTCCATACAAGAAAAAAAAACTATTATTGAAAAGCCCAACAAATATTCCTTAAGAAAAAAAACTTAAAAAAAATTGTTATTGAAAAAAAAAAGTAAAAACTTTCAATGCTGGCTATGGGGTTCGAACCCATGCGCACTTATGTGCAGTAGATCTTAAGTCTACCCCCTTAACCTCTCGGGCAAACCAGCTTTTTGTTTTAATTTTGAAAACTTCATACCTTATTTGTTTATTGTGGTTAAGCATTTTATTCAAAGGCTGATATAACAGAATTGTGTGAATTTTTGATTATCAATTCAATTCCATCAACGTCAAAGAAGTTAGTTATCCAATTGTTCTTATGGTTTCCTTTAGCTAATAATAATGAAGATATTAATATTAATAATAAAAAAAAACGATAAAGGGGGAATAAGACCCATTAATTTTAATACACTTTATTTTATTTTTACGAATCTCCCAATATACGATACCTCAATTAAAATGGAATCAAGTTGCATCGGATCCCAATTGGGTGAAAGTTCTCCCAAAAGTTATTTTCTCCATTTATAAATTTGGAACATAATAACTTACTTAAGGGACATTTGAACTCCTTCTACTTAATCCAATAGGCATTAATATGATATACTTGATTTTACTTGATAATATGTTATAAATATTTTAACTCACATTCATTTTCATGAATTTTTTCTTTCGTAACATTCTAGTAGAAAATATGTTAATCTTAACAAATACTTGCCTGCTCTTTGACCGTTGTATTTTTCAATTAAACTAATTTTCACTTCTACGTGCCATGTGACCCATCGTGTTTAAAATAAATTAAAATTAAAATAATAACTTGTACATACTTATTTTCGGTCATCTATATAATATATGATAGTAATCTTATATCATTGCATATTAATGTACATAATAATATGGGATTAGACTTTGAACATGTGGCAGGATTCATAATCAATTCTACTGGGATGTGCAGGAAAGATGGCTTGGAGACTCAGGCTAAGAGGCAGTTGGGAGTCCCCTCTCAACCTTTTCCTGGAAAAAGTGACGTGATCCTTCTTACACCCAACCCTAAATATAAAACTACCAACAGTCACCTCATAAAATCATGAGATAATTATCCACATTCTTCGAACAAGAATGTGGAGCAATTACTACACCAAGAGTATAAATAATATAATACATATACAACAAACTCCGCTCTGTATCTCTTTCACAAAAAAGAATCAAGAAAACCACAAATCACCACTACATACACAGCCCGCCACAACGCACTCATCTTCAAGAACTGCTCCGGTCTTTCTCACTGCTACCTCGTGCATGTTTATACCCTTGTCTGTGACGTCTCCTCACTCTACTTTCAAGAATTCTTGTTTACATAACTGAAATTAATTACAAGGCAAAGAAAATAATTGCATGTTACTCTACTTTTATTTTAAAAAACTTTAAATTCTTGTTACACAGTCCGATATATTAAACTACCAATAAACACTCTTCAAAAATAGATTCAGATCAATCACAATAAATCAAATTTTAAATAAATGTTTAACTTAATTAGTTCTTCAAAAAAATGATCAATAATTAATGATTAGTTTAACTTATTTTAACTTTTAAGCTTCAAAGTAACGATAATAATAATTTTATTAGTTTATATATTATAATTGGGTTGAGTCCAAAACTACTAAAAAATCTCTAATTTTTTAAAATTAAAATGGTAAAAATAAAATATTTATAAAAATATTGAATATAATAAAATAAAATAAAGTAGAGTTTTTCGTAGAATAAAATTGTAAAAGTTTAAACAATTTCATTTAGGAAATATATTTTTAAAAGAATAATTATTTGATACACCGGCGGTGTAAATTTTGGACTCCACAAGCGGGTTGTGGAGTTGACACATGTCCATTTTCTGAATTAATTAAATTTTAAATATTTCAATCTAGTCCCTAGGGGACAGATGTCACCCTTTAAGACCCGCTTGTGCAGTCTGCTAAACTCCATTTACGTTGTATTATATATAAACCCTTTTAAAAAAACCTAATATATCTAAGTTCTTTTTATTAAAATAGTAAAATGATAAAAATAAATAGTTATAAAGATTGTAGATTTAATAAAATAAAAATAGAGTTTTTAGTTGTATAATACTATAAAAGTTATTTTTTTTGAACAAAACTATAAAAGTTTAAACAATGATATTTAAGAAATATATTCGAGAAAAAAAGGTATAATCGTTAATTCAATAGTATTTGCAATTCATATCAAAACTAGAATTTGGAAATCAAGCACTTACATAGTGGTGTTGATTTAGTGGGTGCACAACTAAAATAATAAAACACCATAAATTAATTTAATTTCATACACCGGGGCTGAAGGATTTGAATGGGGGCACGAGCCCCCATGGTGGATCCGTCTCTGGAAAAGTGGCACGCATGAATTAAGCCACATGTCATTTTCTCCTAAAATTGGATTTTTATTATATAGTAGTGTTGATTTAGTGGGTGCACAACTACAAAAATCAAACCACCCTATATTAATTTTTCATAAACCTCAAAAGGACTGAAAGATTTGAATGGGGCACGTGCCCCGGTGGCCCCATGGTGGATCCGTCCCTACCCTAGACTCTAGTTCCTTTTCTTCCCATAAACCTCCTATTTTCCAGCAACGATGTGCTTCCACTCCTCTAGAATCACCATTGCACCAATGGTAACTCTAGAGGCTATAAGGGCAACAAAATCTTTTGATGCTTCTACTCGTGAGATCTTCTGCCCCAATTTCTTCTATTAATTTAGGAATTATATTTTGATTATTTTTTTTTATATAGATACCTACTATCGAAACCTATCTTTTAGAGAGGCTAGGTCCACGATTTTTCACCATGGAGCATGAAATTCTAGGCGCCCAAACAAGTCCAGAGCATGGATAGAATTAGAAACAACTCCTTATTAAGCACCATATCATCATGATCACCATGGTGTTGAAGATAGATAGCAATGTATCATGGATCCACCACTCATTTTTTGTGCTGGTCGGCGTCGGCGCTTCGTCTTCTAGAGACACCACGATCATGGACTTATTGGGTGGCACATGCAGGTATATTTTATACCACCGGAGCAACGAGCTGGTGTGCTACGCAGCCATTGGAGGCTTGTGAGGATAAAATTTCCTAAGCGCGACCAACACAAACGCCAAGCATATAATGCAGTGGACAAATTGTTGGAGAAGGGAAAAGGTCCTCGGCAGGAGCTCAATGTCCCTATTACTTTTGTTTGAGATTGTCTCAAATAGTTAAACTTTACTTCTTTGAGTCTCAATTTAAACTCTAGTTTTTGGTACTTATTGTATATACCGATTGGAATATAATACAATGCCATGATATCTTCTGCCTAAACAAAACGTTATAGCAATTAACCAAAAACAACACTAAAGATCATCCTTTTTTTTATAACTTCCTACTTTTTTGTAATTTCCTACGGTTATTTACTTCTGCTAATTGCTCAATTAAGGAGAAAACGTTTCACTCTCGGTCTAATTTGGGGCAAAACCTTTTAATTTGGTCGATTTGACGTAAAACGTTTCAAAATCGTGTCAATTCAGGGCAAGCAGTCCAATTGGACGGGATGTGGATTGCACGCATCAGTCTGGCGCGTTAAGGTATAGACAACCTAATTTTAAAATTTAATAATTTTTAAAATAAATTATTTTTTATTTAAAACCGAAATTAAAGGGAAAATATTTTCTTTTTCCAGATATGAGAACGTTGCGTTTTGGTCAAATTATAAAAGGGTTTGGGTGTTATTCTTCTTCTTCTTCTTTTGTGGAAAAAAAAAATTCTCTCTTCATCTTCCTTTGAGTTTGTTCATCTTCTCTGCTTTAGGGGGCATATGAAATCTACGATTTGAAACTAGAATGAGTGCTGATTAGCGATTCTAATCTTGTGAATTTGTTTGACAACAAAGTTTAGATAGTTTCTGCTTATGGTTATTTATTGATTTTTGCTTTTGTTTTGTGTTTGTGATGTGTTTCATTTAGTTTATTCTGAGTAACAAATCGATTTTGGGTGTTGGGTTTTTTACAAAATGTATTGTATTATGAGTTATTTGTATGAGTATGTTTTGGGTTTGTAATGGCTTCTACAAATTCAAGGTTTGCTTCTCCAATTAATTTGGAAATTAGCCAATTATGGTTTCTAGATTCAAATGAAAGAGATGAGCGAATAAAGGTAAAATGTTTTCATGTTTTACAAACAAGGACAAAATGTTTTCGTGTTTTACAAATAAGGGTAAGAACACAACACTTTTTCACCTTGGAGATGGTTTTAAGGTAAAGATAACCTTCAATCTCCCAAATCATCCATTATTAGTAGAAACCCAAGATTCAAAGACAAAATTCTTTTGAAACTTGTTTTCTGAAGTTGCAATTATTAAGTCAAAATTTATTTTCCTTTTATTTTTTATGTTTTTTTTATTTTACATATTTAACCTAATTTTTATTAAACATTTACTAATAAATAAACGTTATTAAAAAGATTTCACGGCGCGTTTAACCCACACGCTAAAAGGTATTGCCCCAATTTGACAGTTTGCCCCAAATTGATGCGATTTCGAAACATTTTATCCCAAATCGACCAAATTAAAAGATTTTTCCCCAAATTAGGCCGAGACTGAAATGTTTTGCCCTTAATTGAGCAATTATCCTATTTACTTCCTAGAACTCCTTCCTAAAAACCAATTACAAAAACCCATTACTTCTCCTTGACGGAACCATAAAGATCTATTTTTTTTTTTTTTTGCTTTCATTGCCTCCTTCCACTCCTCTAGAATCACTAGAGAAGCCACGCAACCCTTTGTTTTTAAATTAAATGAAAATTGCAATCGTACTGCATCGTTTTCGTTTTCTTGTTTTATATATATATTTTTTTAAAAAATTTGTTGGCAATTCTTGAAAACAAAAACACGCTTGGAAGTGTTTTGAAAACAAACATGAAAACATAAAAATCATGTTTCCACTTTTTTCTGAAACATTGTTTCTATTTTCAAAATTTTTTAAAACGAAAATATCCTGCCAAAAATGTTTTCATCTGTTTTGTTTCCAAAACATAATTTTGGCAACAGAAAACAGAAAAAAAACATTACTAAATGTAATAATAATTGAAATTAATCATAAATCAAAGAAAATAATTGCATGTTACTCTTCT